AAGTTAATATTTTTAATTTAATATTTTTTCCTTTTGATGCAGCGTTGAATGAACGAAAGGCGGAAATCCGAATTCAATATCATGATGTGCCTGGTGACATATTTGGTGGAGTTCTGAAAAGAAACGAACTTGTCATTCGCGTCCAACCAGATGAAGCCGTATACATTAAGATGATGACTAAGCGACCTGGTATTGGATTTGAAATGGAAGAAACTGAATTGGACTTAACTTATAATAGTCGTTATAAGGCAAGTTAAATATTGTTTTTCTAATGAATATTAAATTTGTTATGTTGTATAATACCAATTTTGTTTATTAGAATGTTAAGTTACCAGACGCCTATGAACGATTGATATTGGATGTTTTTTGTGGTTCTCAAATGCACTTTGTGCGTGCTGATGAGCTCTCCGAGGCTTGGCGTATATTTACCCCTCTTCTCCATGAAATTGAATTGACTCACCCTGAACCAACACCATACGAGTATGTTGAATAATTATATCAACTAGTCTGTAGACCTCAGTTTAATTTGTGATTTTTTATTTTTTTTATAGATATGGTACTCGTGGACCTAATGAAGCTGATGATCTTTCTCTTGCCAATAACTTCAAATATTATGGATCTTACAAATGGGTGAAACCTCACACTTAGTTCATCCTTCAAATATTGTTTTGGAACAATATATTTATATATTTGTTAAWCTAGCATAATAATATGTACTTGTATAATTGCCTATAAAAATAATTTATTTAAACATCTGCCATATGAATTATTTTAAAACATTTCGGTTACTCACTTGGCCCATTATAAATTATCATTTGAATATCCATTTTTTTTAAATCATTTTTTACTGGTTTTTCTTGTGTTATAAATTTGTTTTGTATTTGTTTGTTTATTCAAAAAAATTTTTTTTACTTAAAATTTAATTTAAATTCTGCTTGGTTATTTTAATCAAGCATAGTTTAGTAAACTTAATTGTTTATAAGTTATACTTATGAATTTTAGCAATAACATGATATAAAATAACAGATGTGCTCATGTTACGTAACTGACCTCTGGAGTATTCTTTTACAATATTTTGTCTAGAAAGCCAAATAATATCTACTCAGTATTACTTGTACACATAAATACATAAATACAAATAATAAAAAACCAGGGTTTTTGTCATATATAACRATACAATTGTATTGTATTTTCAACCTGACTTTCTAAATTAACTTTCAATGTTTCAATTGTTATGATATTATGTTTTTTAGATGTATTGCGACCACAGGGTAAATATCCATTATTAAAATAATATGCTTTTGATTATATATAATAATTTAATTTTTATAAATCAAATGTTTACAGTAGACGAATAGTTATGTTAAAAATTAAAATAGTAAAATTGTCGAATTTCWTATACATGTGGCTGGTGTATGTTAATTTAAAATAATAAAAAAAGCCATTGAAATTCTAGTATTAATGATTTATAATATTTAAGTACCTACTATATTCTTGGATTATGTCTTGTATCTCAATCATATTCACCGCCAACAGTTATGCTGATATCTTGACCAATAGTTTGTGTTTCATGGTACCAAATATTTGTATCTAGTACAACTATAAGAATATTGATGGTATAATATAATAAGATAAGAATATAATAATTATTTTTCTATTGAATTATAATCATACAAATTTGCATGCATAGTTAACAAAGCAATTTTTCAACATTACCATAAATATTATATTTATCTAGATCCAGAATATCACAAGTCCTTAATTTGTATATCAAATGATAATAATAAATAATATTTATGTTTTG